TGTCGGACCGTTAAAATAGGCAGAAAGTCGTTGTGAAAAACGCTTCGTGTCAAACGCGGTAACTTTAACAGTATTGCGAAAGGAAGCTAACGCTTCAACTTAAAAATATTACTTTTACTAACTTAAAACGACCGTTGACTAAACCTAAGCTTGTTCATTTTAAATTTAGCCGCTCTGTTGTCAGTTCGGCTTTACTTACATTTACGACAGTCTATAAACAAAAGGGAAAAGTGGAGGAATAAACATGGTGGCACGTTAAATGCTGCGTGTTCAGTTCAAGTTCCTCGTAAAAATTAACATCGCTTAACTTTAAATTCAGGGAATATTTGAGGATATTTTGTCATGTTTGCTTACTTATTTTCATTTTTTGATCCTTTTTTTTACCACTTATCTTTCCACGAAACTGTTATACTTCTCAGCCATGTTTATTGAGCAAAGCCGAGCCGGCCCACGGAATGTGCAAGCAAAGGTAGCACTTAGACCAGCAGTGGGCAGCAAGACACCTAATTTATGCACAATGAAGAAATCAAAACTTGAAATTTGTTGGTACTTTTAATTTAAAATTCAACTACAAGATGACCAAATTAAACAAAACCGATTAATAAAATACATTACAATAACTGGCAAACATTCAATTGCAGATTTAATTTATCCATTTGAAAAATAAAAAAGCAGGAAAAAAGTAAAGTTATTGCCATGGGTTTACTGTTTTAAAAACATTGTTAATTAAATAAAATGGTGAATCGGACAGAGAAAAAGACAGCACCATTACCCAAAGACTGACACCGTCACCGGGTCCAGTTTAAAAGGAGAAACGCTGTGAAAGGATGACATTTAAGAAGTTAAACATTCAGGCAGCTAAACATAAAAGTGTTTCTGCAGCAGGACAGATTGTACCAACACTCACACAATTTACTCGCTCTGACAGACCTGCAATATTCGTTCTAAATATTTGGAAAGTTTTTTGAATTTGAATTTTCTGCTAAAAATCTTACAAAACTCAAGACCTTTCCAAAAGGTCGTCATCCAACCAAACTAAAACTTCTGTTTTTCCATATATGATGCAACATAATCCAGTTAAGACTGCCAGCATGGGAATCTGCTTGTGGAGGAAACTGGAATAAATAGCTGTTTACTGGATCCTTAATGGAAACTTTATGCATAAAGCTTGACTAATAGGACAAATTAGGCTAAAGAGAAGCTTTGGTAAGATTAAAATCAACATTCCTGGTTGCAATTGATCAGAATCTGGGTTCTGCAGAACATATTCCCATTTTCTAGATATGTATCTTGATCTGCATTTTTCTGCCATGAAAACATGAAAAAAATGCTATAAATGATGCAAGCAGCGCTTATCAGATACCAGTGAAATTACTACTGCATAGCATCGTCTTCCTAATGCAGATAAAAATTAATCTTAAAACATATTGTGTTAAGACAAATGCATTTCTGAACCTGTAATACTGCATAATGTTGGGTCTTCAATGAGTAATTTTAAAAAGACCAAATAAATAAATAAATAAAAAAACAACAATGAAGAGACTAAATGACTCAAAGCATCTTCAAATACATTCAAAACAAAACGAGGAGAAGCTGTGATCCAGCTTCAGTTCGCTGTTGACATTAAAAGACATGAGAAGCAGTTCTGTTCTAACAAGATACCCGTCTGCCTGTAAAGTTAATTATTACATGTTCTGTTCTCCTTCAGATTACAACATGGCTGCACTTAGCCGTGACTGGCGTCAAAAAGGACAATTAATATTTTCGCCTCCCACATTTAAAGCTGTGCACCAATTACACTTAGCTGGTCAAAAAAAATAAACACAGGGAGAAATGTGGACCATAGCAAGGAAGTGAAGCGATCCCAACAATATTTTACTTCAGTGCAGCCAGCTGCTACAGGAAGTTGGAAAAGCTTCAGTTTAATATTTTAATGACCACATGCTGGCTCACTTACAGCGGCTAGATGTAAATTAGGCTGGGATGTGGATGTATAGACAGATAGAGGCTACTTAAAGGCAGCGTACAGGACGGGTCTCCACCCTGACCACTTTCATCACTAAACTGCTCCTTTTTAAGAGTCGGCCGCCTTGCTCTGCTGCATTCATCTCCACTTCCTGTCTTAAACAATGCACTTCCTTTCTCTTATTTCCTGACCTCAGCTCGTTGATAAGCTGGGGCCGCGTTGACAGAGTGATTGATATTGAACTGAAATTCCTTAAAACCAGACGGAAAACTAAAACATTCCCACAGCAGGTTCAACCTTTTACTAACAGATTGCTTCATTTATAAACATATAAATGGGAAGGCGTTCATAAAGTTACACAGTCAAAACTTAGCAGCCATATTTTAGGGCTTTTTGTGGGAAAAAATGGGGGTTAATTTGTCAGTTAGCAAGCTAAAGGTTTAGTTAGCAAGTTAATTATTTTGATTATCATTTATTTACTTATTATTATTTAGCTCAAAGCTAACTAAATACCTAGCTACCTGATAGCTAAACATTTAGCTATCTCTGAGCTAAGTATTTAATTAGAGCTAAATAGTTAGCTTGCTCATTCAATATTTATGGATCAAATTCTGATTAAATTCTCCACCAATGTGATCAGAATTGACATCGTTACAATTTGTTCTCAAGCTAACATGCTTGGACAAATTGATGAAGGGAGGGTATGGAAGTGTTGGTGCTGTCAGGTGCCAGCTAGTTAGCAATAGAAGAAGATGAAGAGTCAATATAGCGTCATTTGGAGACAACTTAGTTCCTAAATTTCAAACAGCAAAAAGTCTGAGAGTTTACAAAACACTTCATATGAACACTAACAGAACAGTTACCTTCACATGGGCTTTGGCTTCTGAGTTTTCTACCTGAAAAATAATATATATATATTTTTTCCAAATTTGTTTTAACAGCTGTTGCATATCTGGATGACAGTTTTCAATAATTTTCCCATCAGAGGGATGTGTTTTTGTTCAGGAGCAGGGCAGTTAAAAAGCCCAGCAGGAAGTGTGCTATTTAATCACTTTAGGTGCTTCCAAACTAATTAAGTTATCGCAGACAGGAAATTATTGTTCCTTTCATCATAACCTCTGAGGGGAACACTTTGAGCTTCTGACTTTCTAAAGAGGTTGAATCTGGAAGCAGCAGCTCCCAGTCTGCCTCCACTGGCTTCTGCTTTTCTTATTCTTTTGTTTGAACATCCACGGTTTAGTGCTTTTATTTCATTTGCAGAAGGACTCTTCATTGACTAAACCTGGTAAATTAGTGAATTTAAATGTTATAAAACAGATTCTTCACCAGTTTTTTAAACTCTACTCTCAAACTAGCATGCAAGTTGTTTGGACAAGTTGATGAACTTGGAGAGAATCTGCAAATTCCACAAAGAAAGATCTGCAAATTTCAGACTGTCTTGGTTTTCTAACAGATGATGTTCTACAGGCATCCCCAACCAAAGACCCTTCCCCAGTAAAGGAGCTCAATTAAGAGTGAAGGAACCAGGACAGGAACCACAGCTCTGACCTGATAACGGTCTCCTCCTCTTTGCCTCAACTGGAGGAGTTCAAATATCTCGATGTCTTTGTTCCTAAATGATAGCAGAAGGATGGATAGATCACTTTCATCTGCTTGGAGATCTGAATTTGCTGATCCAGATGTGTTCAAACTCTCAAGAGACACAATCAGCTGAAATGAGCGTCATCTGAAGGGTGGTTGAGCATCTGATCAGGACACATTCAGGATGTCTTCCAGATGAGACGGTATACTTACCAGCCAAGTCTACAGGCGCACCATGCCAGAAATGGCTTTAAGACCAACCCCAGGTCTGCAATGTCCTTCAAAGATTGGATTCATGAGTTGCTGGACATCTCATGATGTGACTCTCATGGCTCCAGATCATCCTGTAGAAAGATGTGGCACTGTTGGGTTGAGATCTGGTGACAATGGAGGCCATTGATGTTGAAGAAACCAATCTGACGGCTGGAGCTTTGTGACATAGACATGGTGTCAAGAAAATATCCTCCAACACTACACTACAAACTGAAGACCACTCTAGACCAATCATGAGTTCAGAGCAAACAAACATGGCTGACTGGAAAGAAGCAACAGTGATAGATTGTTCACTGTGTTTAACAGAGCAAAACGATACGAAGACGTCGCCAACGTCCACTGGACTTCCTGGTGCTCAACGGCAGATGTATTTAGATTTCACCTCACTTTCTGATTGGTTACTCCTCATATTCAAAAGGCTGCATTCTTGTTTGTACTCTAGTGAACACAATACATGTTGCAATATCAGGCCAAGACAATCCAACATGTTGAAAAGCCCAACTTTGGGATCGGAGTGTTCCTAATGTCCTTCCAAGCAGACCAAATCACTCCTGGCATTCCATAACCTGCAGGAATATTGCTTAAGTTTACCTTTAGATCAGGGTGTTCTTAACATTGTCAGAACGGGAAAATTGGGGCAAAAATCAGCATAACAACTATGGATTAGAGACCATTTCCTGTCCATGGTGTCCTATATCCAGATATCTAAGAGGATATTTCACTGTTTAAGCGTCTAAAGCAGGAATAATAATAAAAAACTCAAAAACTAAGACATGAAATTACATAAAATTTTCATTTTTTAATTATGTGTGCTCTACAACATGCAGACAGACAACAGCTTGGTACAATCTGCAACACCTGAGGGACCCAGTACCATCCAAACGCAACGCACAAAAATTCAAACATCACAAAACTTCAAATCACATCACAAAACACGAATATTTACATTACTTATCGCATTAAACAAAGTGCACATCAATTTATAACCCACCACAGTTTAAACTATTTTTATGTCAATTTATGGAGTAAACAATTTAAACATGCGTCTGCAGCGCCCCCTGTTGGAGGAGCTCATAAGTAAACAAGATATTTACATGAGAAAAAATGTACAAACAATAACAGTTTCAGCTTAAACATCATGGTGTGCAAAGTTATTCCAAAGTTAAGGAGGATGAGTGAGATGGGGGAAGAATGAGGAGGATAAGTGGGATGAAAACTGGTCAGGATGGGAATGAGGAGGATGAGTGGGATGAACTGGGCTGATGGAAGAGAAGTGACAAGAATAAATGCAGCAAAAGGTTAATTTGAAACCAGTATGAGGGGATGAGGTAAATAAATGACCCAAACCTCAACCAGTAAAGGAGTTTGACTTGGTAAAGAAAACTTCCATGAATGTAAACTAAATTACATCCATTAGGTTTTATAAACTGGGTTTGAATCGGTTTCCATTCAAGAAATTAACTTAAATCAAGTTCAACTACAGCCACATTTTCCTTTTCTAACAACAAGTTCAAAGGTTTTAATGGTCTCTATGAAAGAGAATCAGTGATTTTCCTCTTAGGAAAATGTTATTTAATCACCTAATTAGCTTTAAGGTTAATAAAAAACCTGTATATTCTCAGTATTTATGTAAGAAATGTAAACATACCGAGAATATAATAAATTTGCAAAGCTGACATTCCAGATCTGGTTCCTGTATTTACAATGAAGATTTAAACTTCCCATGAAGGTCATTAGACACCAGCTGTCAGGAAATTAATGTCCCCGTTTCAGGCCTGAACAATAATCATTGTTTTCTACTGAAGGAAATGAGCGAGTAACACAACAAACCTACAGGCCAGGAGAACAGCTTACTGGATTATTTTTTAGAAAATACAAACAGAAAGCAAATCCTCTGAAGACATCATTCTGCCTACGAAGGAAAATACATGAGTGGAAACTGGAAACATAATTATGTTGTTCAGTTTTTATTGTTTTTAGCTGCTTTTTGGCTCACAACACATTTTAGATCCTCAAGTCTAACCCAAAACCAGAATTTGCTCAGCTAAGTAGAACAACCATGAATAATATCTAAATTGTGTTTTGGAGTTTTAGGATTCCAGCAGATGGTAATCCAGATTATTCTCAATATTTTTTCATTAATCCAAATTTATTGGATGTTTATTTAAGCTTAGAAGAATTTACAACCCCCCCAAAAAAGGTGAATAAACAAACTTTTGGCCACATTTTAGGTTTTCTTTTATCTTAGTTGTCCTTAAAGCCAAAAACAATTATGGCTTCCAGGTGACTTTTATTTAATAACTGCTTAGCACCAGCTTGTATTGGTAAACCATCCTTTTTGGCGGCCATATTCCTTTATGTTATATCTGAAATATGTTAAAGAGGCAGTATGATGTGTTTTCCATTTTATAGCATGATTAAGTAACTATGTTACAGTCAACTGTTATAAAAACGCTGTATATATCAAACATTACTTAGAAGAAGTTTTACATTGTAATTTAAAATTGGGTTAGGGTCTGTCTCTTTAAGAAGCTCCGCCTTCAGGAAGACATCCCAACATGGCTCCTCTATTAGCCCTTTAACTACGGTTTTACCAGCGTTGCTCTGAGAATAACTCCGTAACGAGCTCAGCAGTTCCACCAGGTGTTTGCTAATTGCTGCTGGCTAATTTGTTTTTCACCAGGGAAAAACAGTAAAACATGATGGAAAGTAAAATAAAAAATCAAGTTGTTTTTACATGATACTGCCCCTTTAACAAAGCCGCCATGAAAAGTGCTGCTGAACCCACAGCGGATAGTGAACGTTCCCCGTTTGGACCGAACCGAGCTCTCCTTTAGCTCCCTGGGCTGATGCTAGCCGGTCGGGCGGATCTGCAGTCAGGACGCCAGCGTGGCCGGCGGACAGTTTTTGAAGGTGAAGTTGAGGTCGGACGGGCGCGGCGCCTGCAGGCGGGACAGCAGCGTGGTGCGCCGGATGCTGCTGTCCGAGTCCTGCTGCCGCAGCCGGTCCCGCAGCCGGCGGCAGCAGGGCAGCAGGCCCAGGAAGTCCGACAGCAGGTGGCCGCTGAAGATCATGTAGATCCAGGGGTTGCAGCAGCTGTTGAGGCTGGCCAGCAGGGCGGACAGCGTCACCGCCGGGTTCTCCGAGTCTGCAGGGCGAAAAAAATTACATTTTTAAAAAATCACCAGGCTGAGTTTCAACAGCATTTCAACTGGATGAATAACAGCTTGAATCGCTTCTGGAGTCTGAACCCATTGACATAAATGTCTCAGCAAGGGAATTAGCTATTGGCTGCCTATAAAAGTCACTGGATGATGTCATCATCTAATTTGCATATTTGGTGATGGGGGTCAAACTACGGGAATAAAATAAAATAAAATTACAAGAATAAAGTTGTGATATTTTGAAAATAAAGTTGTAACAACTTTATTCTCGTATTTCATTTTTCCCCCTCGTACAACTTTATTCTTCTAGTATTTTGACTTCATTCTCATACAACTTTTTTCTGAATTTAGTCTCATGTTATTACGACTTTTTTCTCGTACGACTTTAAGAGATTACAACTCTTTTGTCGGACAAATTAATTCTTGCATTATTTCAGCTTTTTTGTCGTACAGCTTTATTCTGGTAATGTTATGACATTATTCTCTAATAATTACGACTCTGTTGTCATTGTTTGGACATTATTGTTGTACGACTTTACTTTGATAATCTCGCTATATTCTTGTATAATAACGACTTTCTTCTGCTATTATTTTGACTTTATTCTTATTCAGCTTTACTCTTCCAATATGATTTTATTCTGACTTTTCCCCTGTAATATTATAACTTTGTAACCTCATTAATAAATGCGATATATCGATATCGGCTGATGTTATTATTGGTCCGTTTATCATCACCGATAAAGATTTTTATGAACTTTCAGCTGCTGTTACCAGTTGTTGTTTCAAACATTGAAGAATTTGTCACTTCTTCACTCCATTGAATCCAAACATGTGAAAAGTTTTCCTCAACATTTTAACACTTTTTCCTCATGATTTCACCTTCTGATGTATTAACATAAATGGTTTATAGTTTTAATTTTCATGAAAATACTTTTTCCTCTCAGTCTTTTAGTGCTGTAAAACATTTTTTTGTTCATTCTTTATGTAAAAAAAAACTCAATAGATTTAGTTTATATCTGTTTTTTTCATTAAAAAATATAATTTCTTGTTGATTTTAAAGGAAAATGAAACTTTAACTAATTTGTGTAAACATCAAAAACTACATTTTTAAAAATGACAAATTGCATTTTTAGGTAACAGAAGACAAATAAATGTATGATTACATTTTTATTTAATTATTTAATTACAGCAAATATAAATTAAAGTGAATTATTGTGGATACAGGATGATTAATTAGTACTAAAGACGTTTTTCGTCATTTAGAGATTTAACTTATAATTTAATTTTAAAAGTTTAGAACGAGACAAAGAACAGTTTGGATGAAGATATAATACTAAAACTTATAATAATAATTTTATTTATCTTTTCTAAACACTCAGGAATCAAAATATAAAACTGGACATTAATCATAGATTAAAAGCTTTTAGGGAGAAGAAAATCAACAGTTTGCTGATTAATTTTTGTAAAATATTCCGTTTTGCAAACAAAAAGTGCAGATCTGCCCTTTAACTCCCAATATAAATAAAATCTATTATTATTATATAGAAGCAGAAAGTAAGACCAACGGTGTCAGGATGTAAGACAGCAGTCAAACAAAACATAAAACATGACATTGTGGAAAGGAAAATAAACATTTTCTTGATTTATTTTCATAAAAATTTCAGTTTTACAGACTAAAAGCGCGGATCTGCATCTGAGCCTCTTTAGAAAAGCGCTATACAAATAAAATCTATAATTATTTAGCAGCAGGAAGTGAGATATGCGGTACCAGGAGGAAATCTTGTAAAAACACTCAAACTTTCCAGGAATTGAGCTAAATTACAAACAGAGAACTTCAGTAAATCAAATAAAACATAAAACAGGAAGTTAAAAGCTGTTATGAAAAGAAAAATGAACAGTTTGTTTATTTTTATTTAAAAATCAGTTTTTGCAGAGAAAAAGCGCAGATTTGCGTCTTTTACGCGTCGTTACAAAAGCGCTACAGGAATAAAAACTATATTTTATTATAATTTGGGAGTAGAAAGTAAGACCCACCGTGCCAGGAGAAGGTTTTGTCCCACACGGACCACATCTGAACGGTGAAGAACGGAGCCCAGCACACCACGTAAGCCACCACGATCACGAAAGTCATCTTAACGGTGCGTAATTTGGCGCGGGAGATGGTGGAGACGCTGCTGACGGAGTTCCTGCCCAGGATCCTGGACCTGCCGCCCGCTGCCGAAGCGTCCGCCGCGCTCTTCCTGCGCGTCTTGCCCTTCAGGTTCCTCCAGATCGTCCTGCAGATGAAGCCGTAGCAGAACACCAGCACGGCCACCGGAACCAGGAAGATCCCCGCCGTGATCCAGGTGATGTAGGCGCGCAGCCCCCACGGCTCCACGAAGTGACCCCAGCAGTCGTAAACGGCCGAACCGGGCCGAACCTCGCTGAGGGAGAAGATGAAGTACTGCGGGGAGCTGAGCAGCAGGCTGCACGCCCAGCTGCAGCTGATCATGATGTACGCGCGCTGCGTGGGCTGCTGCAGGCTGCGCAGCGGGTGGCAGATGGCCACGTAGCGGTCCACGGTCATCATCACCATCATGTAGGTGGAGGCGAACATGCCCAGAACCTGCAGGTGCTTCACGATGCGGCACAGGAAGTCCGGCCCGTAGAAGCGGAAGGTGACCTCCCAGCAGAGCTGCGGCAGCACCTGGAAGAAGGCGACCACCAGGTCGGCCAGGCTCAGGTGCTTCATGAACAGGTGCATGCGCGACAGCTTTCTGCGGCTGCGCAGCATGGCCAGCAGGACGCTCAGGTTCCCCGCCACCGCCGCCACGAACGCCAGGCTCAGCACCGTGATCTCCAGCTTGGCCACCTCCTCGTTGCGCCCGAACGGGTCGGAGTGGTTGGCGGTACCGCTCAGGTTCCGCTGCGTGGCGTTGAAGGAGCGCATGGTGGCGCTCCGGAGAGACGGAGGCGGAGAGGGGACAAACAGCAGGAGATGCTGCGTCTGGGCGCAGCTGATGCGGGTCTGCCTCTTTTAGAGGTTCCTGTGGAAACCCCATGCACGCAGGGGCGGTCCTAGCCCGTTTGGTGCCCGGAGTCAACACGCTCAGGTTGCCAGTCTCCAGCCCAAAACAACGTAAAACCTGCAAAACCAGCCCAGATCTCAACATCTAACAACAGTTAAGTTGATATATGGATTTAATCAGAGTTCTGTTGGAGCTAGTTACATTTATTTGAGTCACTTTGGAAAAAAAATATTTTTCTGAAAAGTATTTTTATGTCGCTGTACTTTTGAGTAATTTTATTTTGAAGTATTCTCACTTGGGTAAAATTTCTGGATTTTCTCCCCACTGAATGAAAAACAAACATGTTTTAACCAGAAATTCACCAGACACAGACACACAGCTGCAGTTTCTGTTACAGTTTCATCAGTTTTTATTGAAAGAAACTGATTAGGAAAAACATTTATTTTACCTGCCTGATACTTTTTGCTACTTATACAAATTATTGTCATTTTGATAATTAAAATACCAAAATTTCCATCTGATTATGTAAAAACAGTTTTTTTCCAAGTAATTCTTTTGCAATTTATTTTATGTCCTTCTTTAAATAACATAAACATTGTATTTATATATTTCTGCCAAAAGGCATTTGTTCTTTTTTTTGAGTCTGTAGGCTCCAGTTAATGATTAATTGATTACTAAATTAGTTGATGTTTGTTTTAATAATCAATTAATCGGTTCAGTTTTAGATGAGACACCAGAACCAATGATCCAGAGTACCTGAAGGTTCCAGAACCGCAGGCTGATCTCCTCCATGCCACGCCGCATTGATGCAGTAATTCATGCAAACCAGAAACTGAAAGTATAGAAATTACATTTCTAGTTAACATATAGTTTTATTGATCTTCTATAATTCATAACTTGTTCATTCAGCTCCAGATTCCAGGCAAGAGAAAATGTTTCGTCTGTAGAAACTGGAGCTTTGTAGAAAAACAGATTAAATATTGATAATCTTCATCATCAACAGCAACTGTTGATGTAATCAGCATCTAATTAGCAGATCTAGGTCTCGCTCTAAAGCGAGTCTGTGTGACATTAATAGGTCTGCGTGTCGACAACCAGATAACCTCAGAGGCTCGGCTTGTTTTTTAATCAGGGAAACCTGCGTCGCTCCTGATGGAGAAGGAAAACTCCTGCAGGCAGAGCAGAAAGCAGATTAAAGTTCCAGCTCTGCCGCCTTTAAGATCAAGGCTAACTTTTATAAGAGGCGACACCTCCAGAAGTTCTTCAGGGCTTTTGTTTTACACTGGACTGTACAGAATTACCACAACTTTTCTGAAGAAATTTAAAAGCAGCCTGCCAAAGTGTGCGTGTATGTTGGAATCCAGTGTACTGATGATAAAAACGCTAAAATAGCTAACACAGTAAGGCTAGCTTAAATAGCATCACCAGCATGTAGCTGTACATTGACATACTCCATTCAGTATTCTAAATGTGACCAACACATCAAAAATGAGCTAAGATCCAGGGTGCTGTGGTGGAGCACGGGCAAAGCATGACACACGTATTGAGGCCTTAGTCTTTGTGGCGGTGGTCGCAGGTTTGATTCCCGGCCTGGCGACTTTGCCGCATGTCTTCCTTCTCTCTCATTACCCTGTTTCCTGTCAAACTACTTTCAAATAAAGGCCAATAGAGACAACAAAACCTTTAAAAGAATTAGCTAAAATCCTTAGTCTCTTAGCCAAAATGCTTATTTTAGCTATAAGGCTAACATTAGCATGAGGGCTATCACTAGCACACAGAGTCACTAGCATGTTGATACTACCACAAGGATGTAAGTTATCACTAGCATGTGGCGTAACACTGACTTACTCCACTCAGGATGCAAACAGTGTATAAGCTAAAATGAGCTAAAATGCTAACGTAAGCTTAAATGCTGCCAGTAGCATGTCAGGTATTACTAGCAAGACGTACTCTATTCAGTGTGATAAAATAGTTATTTTAGCTACAATGCTAATGTTAGCATGGGGGTTATCACTAGCATTTTGAGTAACAGTGACCTACTCCACTCAGTATGCTAACATTCATGTATTAGCTAAAATGCTAAGGTTAGCTTAATGCTATCAGGAGAATATAAAGTAGCTGAAATTGCTTGATTATATCTGAATTTGAATCTTAATAATTGTTTAACAATTACATAATAGATTAGCAGTGGTGGATTGATTTTTACTCTCCTAATAAATGAAATAATCATGAAAACGGCCTGTAATAAAGTTTATTTGATTATCTGAAAACATTAAAGTAATAAAAATGAGGAAACCCAGAAGAAAATTAAGGATTAAATCTCTAGACTCACTGATCCCTTTACTGAAGCAGAAATACAAAAAACATTAAAATGAAGGTCAGGGTGTGAAAACTTGTTTCATCACAACCAACCATTAAGAAAAAAGCTAAAAACAGAAATAAAATTCAACGTTGGTGAAACTTCAGCTTTCTCTGATTTCATCAGGAAAGCAGGAGTTGAAGCTTTCAGCCTGATGAGGGATTAATAAAGTCGCTTTTATTGGATTAAAAGCATTTTATGATTCCTAAAGGAACCGGATGATTTTACTGATGCAGGAACAAAACCAACTGGGTCTTTTAAACATCCACAACAGGAAAACAACCTTCCCATTTTAAGACAATAATCTGTTTTCACCGGAATATATACAGATGGAAACTTAAGTTTCACATTTCCTCATGAAATTTTAGTTTAGTTTTGTAGTTTCTTAACTCCACCTCAAAAAAGATTTTGTTTTGACTTTCTCTGAAATTATATATTTTTTGCGCTTTATTTAGGAAAAAACACATTTGTTTTATTGTTCTATTCTTTCTGTTTATCTTGTTAATTAGCTATTAAAGTATTTAATTCAACTTTGTTCAAATTCTTTCTTAAGTTTTAATAATATAATTCAAAGGTAAAAAACAAAAAAAACACCAAAATGTCAGCGGTTTGATCATAAATCAAGTTTAAATGACAAAGAGTATCGGTGTTAGCATCGGTATCAACGACAGGCCTGTCGCAATAAGCAATAAATCAATTAATCACATGATAAATTAAAGCAAAATCAATAACTTCCATTTGCATTGTTTATTGTTTTTTCTTTTTACCAAAAACTGGATGATAAAAGTCTTCAATTTGCTGTTTTTCTTTAAGGATAATTTTGCTTCCAGAGACTTTATAATTAATATTATTTGTTGTTTTGTTTGTTTATTTTGGGTATTTAAAATATCTTCCAGCTCCAGTGTTAAAATATTCATTAGAAATTAAAATTAATTGATATATGAGAAAGTGTTTTTGCATTATTAGTATCAGGGCTGCACTGCACTGATTGTGGTTTTCTGGCTGATAGCTGATCATTGATCTTTAAAAACCCTGACCTGCTGATTCCAATTTTGGCTGATACCAATTATTTTTTTATCTGAAATGTTGCAAAATATTGCAAGAAAGTTGCTAAATTGGGAAAAGTGGAGAGATTATTGGTAGCTGGAAACGTGCAGACATGACCTGGTGGGCAGGGCTAGTATTGTGGGCGGGGCTAACCTGGTAGGTGGGGCTAATATTGTGGGCGGAGTTAATATTGTGGGTGGGTCTAACAGTTAAACCTCTAAAGGCAGAAAAGCAGAAGAGGACAGTGGCTGATTTTTAGACCTTTGCTGAGGTAGATAAGAACCCTTTTCACATGCAAGTACCGGCCAATCATCAATCTCCTAAAATTAAGGATAAATTGGCCGATTGATAAATCAGTGCACCCATAATAAGCATTATGTTGCTTGAAAATGGTTACAAAACGACAATATTATCATTAATTGCGATAACTTGTGTGAAAATTTGTTATCGACTGAGTCTCCTGGTATTTATTTGGTAGAATTTATTTTCAAAACTACCTGGTTTGAGACGCGATTCAGAAAAAATCCTGGAGTAACTCGGCTGGTTTCTTAATGTCCAATCTATATGCAGAGCGGAGCGAGAGCAGAGGCGGCTGCCGATCAGACAGTTACATAATGTGTTCTGGTAAAACAATGGTGGGTAATGCTCAGACCTGCCACCACTCACAGATTTATGACTCTGCAGTTATGGAGCTGTCAAAGTTTGCCGGAACTGACAGATAATGGCGGCCGGTATCCGTGGCGATAAGCGCGCCGGGCGCACGCTGCGTGTGTTTAACACAATCAGCCATTATGTCACCGGTTCTGGTTTCTTTCTGTTACTTATGCATACAGCGTGTTTATGTAACAAATTTAAGATAAAAAAAATGGGAGAAAATGCAACATAGCACAACTTAAAGTTAATTTTTTTAACAATACATTGAGTTTTCTCTGGATTTTTTCACATAAATCGTTTCACGTCAAACTAAGTTAAACACAAATTAAAATATATTAAATAAAAAGTTAAAGCTCCTTTTAAATGATTTCTGCCTTGATGTATTAGGGCCAAAAAAACAACATGAGAATAAAATTGTAATGACTTTATGTATTTAGTAAATTTAAGATGAAAAACAAGAAAAAATATAGCATAACACAATTTAATATTTTTTAAATGAAGTTGTTTCTTTCAAAAAAAATTTAGCATTAAAACATTTCATATCAAACTAAGTTTGACATAAATTAAAAATATCTTGAGTACAAAGTATAATCTGCTCTTAAATGATAAATTTAGTTAACAGAAAAAAATCTATCCTGGAGTAATAGGGCCATACTAATGAAAACAAAATAAATGCGAAATGGGAGCATAAAGTCGTTATAATATGACAATGAAGTCATAAAATTATGACTGTGCGTGCGAGGACTGAGGCAACTGATACAAGTGATGTGGGTGAAGGGTCGGTTGGACCCCATTTGTAAACACAACGGTTAAGATTAAAAATGCATCATTGTACAATTTTAATTTTTTTATCAGTAAGTTGAATGTTTTACGTTAAAATGTTTCAGATAAAACTAACTTTAATAGAAATAAAAATATTCTTAGTAAAAATAAAAAGCTTAAATAAAATTAGCAATAATTTTATTTATTAGCAGAAAAAAAATATATTCTAAGATGGAATATTAGGGCCATACTAATGAGAAAATAATGTTGAAATGAAATGTTTTAACAACATTAATTGAAATTCTTCAGTTATTGTAGATTATGATAGAATAATAAATAAATATGACAAAGTCATATTATTACAAGAATTAAGTTGTACAAGAATAAAGGTCCAAATAAAAAGAAAATAAACAAATATTTTGAGAATAAATATGAAAAAATCCATACTATTCTGTTTTAAAGTCATAATATTATAAGTTTATTCTCGAAATATTACTGGAAGAAAGAATTGTGTTGCCTCCAACAAGATAGACGGGACTAAATCCTGGAAAAAACAAACTAAATTGTTGATTTCAAATGATCTGTAAATGGTAATTAATGAACTAAAACTGAGAAGGGAACAGAAAGCGATCAGTATCGGGGCGCAGCATGAAGCTCCGTCATCTCTATTAATGCCAGCTTTAAACACGCCATTACATTTCGAGGATTTCTCCTGATGGCGAAGCGTAAAGGTCACATTTGTCTCCTTCCGTGGCTCCCACTCCCACAGACGCAGAGAAGCATCACCTGCTGCCGCGGATCGACGGTAATTACGGGCTGTTTCTCCACTCTGTCAAACCTCAGGGTGCTAATTGCTTTCAGAGACGATTTCTCACTCGCCGTTTCTTTTTTGACAAACTGCAGTTAAAGATCCTGCAGCTAAGGCAACTTTTTAATGTTGCAACCATTTCCACGCAGCATTAGCATCTTTAAGGGATTTTTGTTTTCCAGCTCATTTCTCAGATAGATCT